CTCGCCCATCCAACGCCTTGTGCCAAGGTAAAGGAAGGGCCAGGAACCCAGAACTGGGTTCTCCTCCAGTGCCCCGGTGCTGGCCCTGAGCTGGGGCCCACAGTCAGCACAGGACACAGCTGGCCATGCAGCATGGCAGCCCCCAGCACGCTGTGCTGTGTGGTACTCACTGAGCCGCACACACGGTGTGATGGAGATGAAGGACATGATGCCACAGAGGCTGCCATTGATGGCAAGCAGTGCTTTGTTGAGGTGGCAGGCGGCTGGGTGGGTGTAGAACTTGTAGAGGAAGGAGAAGGCGGCAGAGGCAAGGGTGTAGAAGGTGGCCGTGGCCAGCAGCACAGCCAGATACCAGCGCTTGTCCTGCGCAGCTCCTGTCAGCCTGCAGAAGAGTGGATGAGCAGTGGCAGGGGACAGCTACCCACCCGGCACCCCAGCACTCACCAGTTCTTGTTCCAGGTGTGTGCAAAGGCTGTGATTAGCACCAGCTGGATGAGGATGAAGGCGAAGCCCCCACAGACACCTGTGTAGTGCCAGGCTGGGGGAAGACGGCAGAGGTAGAGATGGCACAGGGCAAGTGGGGCACAAAAGGGGTGCCCAGGGTCCCAGCTCAGGTAGGGTGGGGACACACCTTGGATGAAGTTCTCCTCAGGGATGAAGAAGCTTGCGGCCCAGAGGCCCACCAGCACCAGCAGCTTCAGGAGCCAGAACCTGCAGGGCAGGTAACGTAAGTAGGACAGATTCCCTGGCAGCCCCATCCCAGGACACTCTGTCCCAGCCCCATGGCCCATCCTCACCCGTTGTGGAGCTGCGCACGGCAGTCAGAGCTGGAGCGCACGTTGAGCAGCAGGGCAGCCTGTGCCAGGTGGAAGCAGGCAGTGCCAAAACAGACCCGGTACACGGCCGAGGAGCCCACCAGCTGCTCGCAGTCTGTGCCCCCAGGCAGGTGTTGGCACAGCACCACTGAGAAGGGCACCTGGCAGGCACGGTGGTTGATGGGACAGGGCTGCTGGTGCGTCCACCCACCATCCCCCAGTGTCCATGGCATCCAGCACATCCAAACTTTCAATATTCCCATCATTCCCAGTACCTTTCTCAGTACCCTGGGACTGCTGGGACCCCCAGCATGCCAGACAAATCCTGCATCTCTGGTACCCCTGGCACCCCTTCCCGCTTGGCACCTCCAGCACCCTCGTCACTCCCAGCAGCCCTGTCACTATCCCACCATCCCAGTATCCTCAGAATCCCAGTACTCCTGATGCCCATGGCAATTCTGGCATGCCCAGTGCTCCCCTGGGTGCCCTGACGTGCCTGGCACCCCAATACCCCCAGAACTCATTGTACCCTTGAGACCCCCAATAGTCCTGGTACCCTGGGTGTCCCAATTCCCTCTGTCACCTTCTCCGTGATAGCCTGGGCCACAGTGCGGGACAGCATGAGGCAGCACACAGCAGAGGCCAGGACGTGCAGGAGCGTGTAGAGGATACGCGTGCTCGTGGACACGCGGAGCCCGTGACAACCGCAGCAGAGCTGGGGAGGGGCAGGNGGGCACAGCAGGGACCAGCCCTGGGCGCAGTTTGTCCCGGCAGGGGCTATGTGGAGACGCTGATGCGCTGTGGAGCACGTCGGCGCCGCACGATGCGTGGCCCTGTACTGCTGCGCCGGTGCTGTGGGGAGCCGTGGAGGCAGAAGGGGCTCAGCAGCAGCCACAGGTAGAGCAGGACACAAGCCCAGCACGAGGACACCTTCACCCAGAAGGTTGACCAGCTGCCATGTGTGAAGGTGGTCTCCAGCACTGCGTTCTCATAGCTGGTGGGAGAGGGCAGGGCTGGGTACCCAATGGCTGCCGGCACAGGGGGTTCCAGTGCCAGCTGCTGCCACCAGATCACCCTGTGTCCCAGTGGCCACGTGCCCCTGGGCATGTGCCTTCCATGGCCCCTCAGCCCTTCTTGCTGCGCTGCACGGCTGCCACTGGAGCAGTGCAGGTCTGCGGGCACAGAGTCCTGAGCAACCCCAGCAGGTGCCAACTCAGTGATACTGGCACAGCCTGGCACAGAGGTTTGGAGTGAGAGCAGGGAGGGCTGGGCAGCAGCACAGAGCCCTACCTGAACCAGTTGGTGAGTGTCATCATAACATAGAGCGAGGCAAGGAAGAAGACAAAGTGGAAAGCTGAGTAGCTGTAGACCACCCGGTCCTGTTCATCCTCGATGATGAACTGTCCTCTGGCGCTCCCCTCTACTTGGTCACATGTCTGGTCAGTGCCTGGGGGAGTGTGGGGACATGGCACTCCCAGGCTGGGACACAGGCTCTGTCCACTCCCACACAGACACTGCACTCACCTCTCAGCTCCTCCTCCATCTTCTCAGGGCAGCAGAAACAACAGGAAGGTTTCTGCAGGGAGAGCAGAGTGCTGACTGCCCAGCCCCATGGCCAGCATGGCCAGGCTGAGCCCTGCCTGATGCCAGGGCAGGTGGTGTGGGCAGCCCTCTGTGCTTTGCCAGACAGACCTGCCCCTCTCTGGGGCTGGGACAGGGCCTTGAGGTGGTGGGTCTGGGGCGCCCTTAGCAGGAGGACATGGAGCACAGCTGCATCCATACTCACTTTAAACTCAAAGCTGTAGACTTTGACCATCCAGAGGGGCCCAAAGACCTCAGCGAGGTACGAGGCTTCATTGCTGTGCCCAGGAGAGAGGCAGAAATCATGACTCAGGCACACATCACGCTGTGCTAGGCTCCCAGCCTGCCCC